ATTTTTGGATGTGGGGTGAGTCTGATATTTTTTGATTCTTTATATGTTCTAGATTCAAATCCTTTATTTGAGGTAAAGCTGACCATAATTTTTCACACTCTGTAGGTTGTCTTTTCAGCCTGTTGGTGATTTATTTTTTGTGCAAAACATTTTCAATAAAGTGAGATCTTATCTGTTGATTCTGTGTAGCAGTTCCTTTGCAGTCTGGGTTTGTTCATGAATTTTCTTCCTGCACCTGTGTCTTTGAGATTTCTATTCTAATAAATTGTTTCTGTTTTAATATTGGATTTTCATTCATTTTGACTTTAGTTTAGCACATGGTGATAGACATAGGTTTAGTTTTAGTCTTTGGCATATGAATAGCCAGTTTTTGCAGAACCATTTATGAAGGTTTTTTTTTTTTTTTTTTTTTCCAATGAACATGTTTGGTTCCTTTGTCAAAAATAAGGCAACTGAGTATGTTTGTAGTTGTTTCTGCATCTTTTAATCTGCTCCACTGAGCCTCAGGCCTGTTTTGTTTTGTTTCTTTTTTTTCTCAGTGTGTTGTTGATTTTATTAGAGTAGCTTTGTAGTATAACACAGGTCCAGTATTGTGATGCCCCTTGTCTTGCCTTGTTGCCCAGAATTTCTTTTGCTAGGTCTCTTCTGGTTCCAAATGACTTGTAGGAATGCTTTTCTCTAGATTTGTGAGGTATGCTAATAATATTTCCACTGGAATTGTATCATATCTTTAGAGCAGTTTGAGCATATGGCCATTTTCACTATGTTGGTTCTTCCTCTCAAGAGCAAGGGATATCTTTCTATTTTTAAATATTCCCTTTGATCTAGAAGTGGAATTTCTATTCCTTAGATAAGATCATTTAACAAGAAACTGCTAAGAGATTTCCCAATAGGGTCCTGAAAATTTGCACCCTATTAGCAATGTGTAAAAGCCTCATTTGCAACACAATTGTGGGGGTGTTTGTGACAATCTCAAAGCATTTAGTTTTTATTATTAAATATACAGCTATAATATATGTTATCATAGGGAATTTGTACTGTACGTAATGCATCTTGGGTTCTCTTTTTTCCCAATTCCCCTCCTGTTCCTTCAACCCCTCTTCCCTTCCTTATGTGCAAATCATTGTTGCCATTTTATCTTTTTTTTAATTTTTTCTTTTTTCCTTTCCTTTTGAATAATTCTTATTTTGCAATATCTATTATACAATTTGGTTCTTAATTACACTTTTAGTTTCTCACATCTGTGAAGTAGTGCAATATTGACACATTTTTCCAATTTATATCACTTAAGAGTATGGTCTCATGGAGGAGCAAATGATGGCAGATCAATACACAGCAGAATACAGAAGCTCCCTGAGACAACTCAGATGCCAGAATAAAACATAGTAGAGAGGTCCAGACAGAGGGAGATGGATACTCTCCACCCAGGAAGAAACTAAAAGGAAAAGAGCTGGTCAAACATGCAGTCCCAGGGCTATCACTCAAGCAGTGAAGATTAGCAGGCACAGTGCTCTCATCGGAGTGCCCAAACTCCCCCTTCTGGGACTCACACCTGCCACTACAACTCATCCCAGCCACCAGAACTCCCACTGTTGGACTTGCCCCAGCTGCATGAACTCTGCCACTGTGATTCACTGCAGCCACCATGACACTGAAGTTGGAGGTCAGTGAGCCAAGGGAGCACAGAGCCAGCAAGAGATCTGCATTGACCCACAGAGAGTGCTGGAAATAAGACCCTCCCATGGGAAAGGGGCAACCAACTGTACAAAATGGAGGAATTATGCAGGACAGGCAGTAACAAGGAATAGGAGTGACTTCAGTTGGTTGTTCCCTTCCTAGACCAGATTGGTGGGATCTGCTTGGCCTGGATCACTCCCCTGGTTGGGACCCAATAAGTCGTTCCAAACCAACTCTGTGTATGCGAAACATACTAACAACAGTGAAGGCCCCAGCAAGTTGACTGACCCAGAGGGGAGGGACCAGCATATGCCGCCCCTGTTTGCACATCAATGACCAACAGCAAATTGGAGAGGGCAGAAATCCATAGCCAGCACACTTCAGAAGAACCATAACCAACAAGGAAAGGGGCTGGGATCTCCTCTATAGACCTGTATGGAATAAACTAAAAGCATGACAAGAGAAAGAAATAAGAAAAAGTCCCTAGCCCCCACCCCTGAAAGTATTGATCCAGGAGAGGTAATTGCAAAAGAAATTGAGGGCAGCAAACATGCAATATCAGACACGGCATCAGTGGACATAAAGAGATACCTTTGGGACCTCATAGATGAGCTCAAAAGTGAAATATTCAATCAAGTATAGCAATATATAAGTAGATTAATAAAAGAATTACTAAGCACCTCTCAAGAAGACACAGACACAAAAATGGAGGAACACAAGAAAGGAGAGAAATGTTTAACGAAGAATATAAAGAAAACCTAGAATACATGAAGCAAATTCAAAGAGATTACCAGGAAATTAAAAATTCCATTGAAAGTTGGCAAAACTGCTTGAAAGCAACTATGGTTTAGACTATTAAAACTTGAAGATAAGTTTTCAATATGTGATCATGAAAGGAAAGATCTCTTAAAAAAATAACAAGGAAATAAAAAGGAAATACAAAGGCTATTCACAGAAATAATTAAGGAAAACTTCCCAAGCATAGGAAAAATAAATGATATTCAGATTTATGAGGCATACAGAACTCCAGACATCTACAACCATAACAGAGCTACACCCAGGCATATAATAATCAAGATCCTAGAAATTCAATATAAGAACAGAAAATTAAAAGCCATCTGAGAAAAGAAACAGATCACCGGTAAAGGAAAACCCATCAAAATCACAGCAGACTTCTGGACACAGACCATCAAATCAAGAAGAGCTTGGAGCAAAGTATTCCCAAGGCTTGAAAGAAAATAACCTCCAGCCAAGATTAATGTACCCTGAAAAACTGTCTCTAGAAATTAATGGAGAAACAAGATGCTTCCAAGACAAAGAGGAACTGGGCGAATTCGCAACCACCAATCCAACTCTACAGATAATACTGAAGGAAAATCTAGAGAGAGGAAAAAAGTACCAGTATTTCAGGGACAGTGGCAAAGAGGTCTCAATGAATGGGGCAGAATGTGCAATGAAGGAGAAAAGCAGACAACTAGTGGCAGAAAAATTAGCATGGCAGAAAAACAGCATAACAGAAATGAGGCAGAGAAGGTTGGCTATAATCTCTAATGTAGATGGCCTTGATACTGTAAAAAAAAAAAGAAACATAGGCAGACAGGAGGTAGGGTCCACAAAGATGCTCTGTATAAGAAATATAATTAACTTGAAAAAGGATTTATGGACTGCAAATCAAATATGAGAAAACAATGCTCTATGTGACAGGGAATCAGAGAGTAACAGGAGCATCTTGACCAATAGCTGCCAATAGGTTGGAAAGACAGGCTTCTGTAGGTAAAGGAATACAACTTGACATCAAGTCCAGAAGTGAAAAGATTCAGAACCACTTTGGTAAATAGTAGTTTGCACCTCCATCTAAAAACTGAGGGAGTTGGTGGGACCCAAAAGGCACAGTGCACCCTGTGGAAGAGAAAGGGGAGTAATAGTCAAAAAACGAAGGCAGAAGATATTGTTAATAGTGTGTCAGGATTTAAAACCCACATTAGTCATACCATTCTGTTTAGACAGATTATATTATATTCCAGTTTGTCTACTTGCACTGGATTTGAGGGCACAGATAGCTATCCCAAAAATAGCAGGATATAGTATGGTAATCATCCTTAATTTCCTATTAATTTAATCTAAAGGCCTGTATAGCATATACTGTTTTACCATGACAGATCTTAGTTGAGTCTAGTTTGTTAGGCTGCTGTTTCACATTGACAGATTTTCAAATCTGTTATGATTGATAGTGTCAAGCCTGAAAGTTCAGGCAACTACACTGAAGATGACACGATTCACTAGGATCCCCATTCTGCTTTGATTATTACCTCCTTTTGAAGTTTTATACTATTGCAATGTTTTATTTTTATCAATATTGTTATTACTGATATATACATTATATTATTATGCTATGCCTGATGATATAGACAATTCTATTGAAGATAACAAGAGACAACCCAGTAACCATTGTAGAACACCTTGTAACGGGGTTTTGTATGACTTTTTCATGTCATGTTTTTATAAGAATACGTTTATTTTGCCTTGCTTTGTTTTGTTTCTCCCTCTAATACAGAATGAATAGAAATACATGTAGAAACTCATGCATGTGTAGACTCTATAAACAGTTTGTGAGAAGTGATCATATAATGCATGATAAAATGAACAATTACTTTGAAGAAAAAGAGACACCTCAGTACCCCAGTAACGATCCCATAGTGTCATAATGTGAAATCCAGCAATATTATTATTTGTTCAGAGTGATTTTAGCTTGCTTTGTTTTGTTTGATCTTAACATACATGAAGGTGTGGACAGCTATTTTGAAGAGAATGAGAGACACAATGACAGCCATTGTTAAATTTCCTATTGTCTGATCTTAAAGACTTAAAATTCCTTCCTCATCTTTGTCAGATCAGTCCTATACTATGTTGTTTCACGTGCATTCATTGTATGTGAAGGTATGGACAGCTATTTGGAAGAAAACAGACAACAGGATTGAGAAGATCTCTGATTGTCATGCTTTGAAATTAATGTCTCTTACATTGCTTTCTTATGTTCTGTTTGTTCTGTTCAACTGTGTTCAGTTTTACCCTTTTAAAATAAAAAAAGAGTGTGGTCTCAAGTTGCATCCATTTCTCTATAGAAGTCTCTGGTTTATCCTTTTTTGACCAAGTAGTACTCCATTGTATTAAAAATATGTCTTTTTAAAAATCCATCTCTTGGTTGATGGGAATTTCGGTTGTTTCCAAAATATAGCTATTACTGAGTTTATGCATATATGTTTTCAACTGTTGGTACGAATGAAGGCTAGCTTCTATCACTCCCAGCCTAAGTGTTGGGCAGGTCCTGCTAGAGCAGCGAGGGCAGGTTTGTGCACAGGCTGCAGGTGTCTGGAGAGCACTGTGTTTGTGCTGCGCAGAAGTAGGTGGCTGAGTCTCCAAGCTGAGAAGTCCTGATATGCAAAGAGAGCTCTTGGTCACTCTTCTTGAGAAATACTTTGAATCTTCCGTCTTCCTTTTCATTTAGAACAGATCGTATGGCTATCAGAAGTTCAAGGCTTTTACCAGGGAGCTGCCGGTACCATGGGAAGTAGTCAAATGCACTGTTCTCATATGTGCAGTTTAGAATTGAAGTATCTCCTTCCTGGACTGTCAAATACGGAGGATTTTGTTTCACCTGTTGCTGGTCACCTTTATCCTTCTCTTGGCCGCTCACCCCTGCTTAGGAAAATTAAAAAAAAAAGTCATTAAGCCCTAAAATTGTATTTCCCTTTTAAAGTTTCTACTTGTGTGTTGTTTTCTGTTCTCCAATGTTCTCATTCCCTCAACTTGATACCATACCCCAGGGTTTCTCCTCTACACTCACATCCCCTCTGAAGGCTGAGAATCAGAATTGACGCTCCCAGAATCCTGTCCATTCCTCCTGCAGCCAGGGCTCAGTGCCAGCCCCGTGGTCTGAGGTCTCCAGGTGGCTGGAGCTCTGCCTGACTCACACCCACTTTAGTTCTGTCAGCAGGCTCCACCCCTGCAGGTGTTTTCACTTAATCTCTGTCACAGGAAGCACTTTCCAACTTGGGCCAATTTTTGTCTTTGAAATCAGAAATCTACTCTGTATACATAGAGTATTTGTTTAAAATTGTTCTCTGTTGATGTCTTTCTATACTTTCCAGTTCCTAGAATATTAAACCTCATATGTTGTAACAGCTATGTCAATAAAAATCATCTCATTATACAACAATGAAAGAGAAGGAATCCCAGGAAGCAAAAGATTAACACTTATAAGGCATTACACTTTTCATATTAATCTTAAAGTTTTTGACATCACAGTTGACAAAATACTACATTTTAATCTAACATCGTGGGATTTATATGCTTTGTCTTTTTTGATCTCAAGGAACTTCAATTTTCTTTTCTTCTCTTTTCTTTTCTTTTCTTTTTTTTTTTTTTTTGTCTTTTTCCTTTTTATGGGTACCAGGGATCGAACTCACGACTGCCTGCTTGCAAGATAGGCGCTTATGCTGCTGAGCTAAATTCCCAACCCCTCAATTTTCTTACAGTCTTATAAGTGTGCTCCTATTTCATGACTAAGAAATGATAGAAAACAAGTCCAAGCCAGTTGCTTTGCAGTTTCTATAAAATGCCTCTCAGGTAAATTAAATATTTCAAAGAATATCTGGTGAAAAAATTGGAATATCCTGTAACAATCTATCCTGGAGGAGCTCTGACCTTCTAATAAGAGGAAGAGAACATTTTGCTGACTTCAGAAGATATGACAACTTGGCTGTTCAGAAATAAAGCATTTTTGGTAACTGGTAACTCTGATTCTGAGTTTGAATAGGCATTGAATATTTTATCTATTCTCATGGATGAAAACGAAAATATAAAGAAATAAGTTGCTATAGATTTTTGTACCATGAGGGAGTAGTGGCAACAACTGATAAATTCTAAAGCAACCTGAAAAGGAGGAATGGTCTCAGTTATAAATAACAGAAGTCAAAAGAACAAAATACAGGTTGTTTTCATGAAGTGCAGGATGGATTTTTTTCTGTGTATTATATGTTATCTCAGCTCCAATCAGGGAAAACCATCATAATAATCCAGTAGGAGAAAGTGGTGCAGATCCCTCAGTCTGTCTAGTCCCATTCTGAGGCCGTATCAGATAAGAAGTGCTTTAATTGCTTAAGGTTTTTCTATATGTTTAGTGTATCCTCCCTTATCTGTGGTTATTACATTTCAAGACCTCAAATAAATGTCTAAGCCCCAAATAGCATCAAACTATAGGGCAGATCCAGAACCTTTTTAGACAGCAGAAAATGCTCCCTCTGTGTGGCTGTGACGGCAAGAGATTTTCCAGCAGCTTCACACCATGGTTTGAGGGCTGTGGTTTGATAGCATCCTCCAGGCCTATAGCACTGTCCACCCTAGTGCAGGTTGCCATCCTCACCCATTTCCCCCTTCAGTCCACAAGTTTACCAACAAGCCCAGTGTCCAGTCAATAAAGTGTTACCCATCCCAGGTGTGGAGACTTACTCCCAACTCATCAAACAGGACATCCAGGACTCTGAGTGCCCCATTCTTCCACCGAAATGACTGTTACTGCCTGGCTCTGGTGAATCTGGGAACTCCTAGACTCCAGACCCACTGGATGTAACAAAATCCAATATATTCTGCTTTTCCTATACTTTTTTTGTAAACTATAATTTCCTACGTGTATTTCCTATACTATAATTTTCATTTTTTTCACCTAAAGAAAGCAATTCATGGTCTTTCGTTACCATATCCACATTACCAGCACCTTTACTTTTGCACTTTGGGACCTTTGTTAAGTAAAATAAGAATTACTTACACGCAAACATTATGAACAGTCACTCTGATAGTGAGGTGCCTATAAAGTGACCAATGACCACAGAGTACATAACATGTCTACCCCATAAAAAATGAGGGTTCATGTCCCAGGACAGGTAGAGAAGGAGGGCAGGAAATTCTTCCATGCTGCTTTGAACAATGTGTAATTTTAAAAATTCATGAATCATTTATTTATGAATTTTCCACTTAATATTTTCAGACCACAACTTGCTCAGTATCTAAAAAGAGAACCTGAAGATAAGGAGGCACTGGTGCTTATGTACAGGACATCCACCAAAAACCTGCGTATGGACAGTATCTGGGTCTCACCTGTGAAAGGCTAGTCCCAGGCTCTCAGATCAGCCAGGACTCAGGGACAGCAAGGTGAAATCTCTGAGATAGTTGATTGCTTAGAAAAGGTCACCAAGATGGAGAGATGAGCTCTTTTTCTTGACCATGTCACTGAAGAGATTGGACAGAAATTGTGCTTGAAATCTGTTTTAAACCATGAGTGGATTTCCCAGTAAAAAGAATATAGAAGAAAATTCCAGTTCAGTTTAATCAGCATGGTTGTGGATTCAGTAATACATGCGTAGGTCACTTTGTGCTCACGAAAGTTAATGTGGCCTTCACCTTGAAAAATATCCTGTGTCTTCAGAGAACTCTTCCCTTCCAAAGTTGGATTCTTCAACCCTCAGAGCCTACACATTATTTAGGTGGATGGGTGGATACACACATGAATTGACAGCTGATATAAAACTAAGCCAAAGCAGAGGAGGTTGAGAATGATTTTTAAAGAGCTCATCTCTGGCTGAGTGTGTGAGAGACATTACTCTGATCTGAGTCAGCACTGCCCCTCTGTGGCTGTGCAGGGAGATCACAGACTCCTGTGAACAATTCCCTGTGACTTCATTTTTATTAATGGATCTGATTTTAGTTTTTCAATTTTGTATTGTTTCCATTTGAGACACATAATAAGTAACTTCATTGTGGAGTGTTTGTGTCTATACACATCACACCTTGATCCACTTTGCTTCTTCGTGTCTTCCTTATTTGGACCCCCTTTCCACCTCCAGGAAACCTGTCTGGCCATGTCCTATCATCTGTCTTTTACTTTGCTCTTTAAATTATTTATAGTTCATGTTTCTCACATAAAAGAAACCTTGTGATAAACAACCTGTGTTTGGTTCATTTCACTTAGCATTATGGATTCGAGGTGTATCAATTTTCCTATGAATGACTCAAGTTTATACTTTATGTCTGCATAGTACTCGCTGCACACCCATGGCTGGGCAGTACTCTGCTGTGACAAATGTGTGAGATATGTGTATTCTTTATCCGTTCACACGATGATTGGAACACTGGGTTCTTCTGTTCACCAAACCTTGCTCGCTGAGCTGAGTGATGGCTGCTTCTTATTCTAGAATTACTGTAGAGGAGAGAAGATTGCCCTGTTGGGTCTCTTAGAAATATCTGCCGCCCTCAACCGAGGCATTTCCCAGTGACATCTGGAAGAGTTGGTTAGGGTGTCAGCTAGGCCAGGAAAAAGCAGGGCTACTGGGCTGTGAACTGTGCATCTCATGCGTCCTGTGGGCCCTTAATTCAGAGGCACGTGCTGGGCCTTGGGCTGAGCTACTGCCTGACTCCCCTGTCCCAGCCTCCCTTACCCATGTCATGTCGGGGGGAAACCTCCAAGCTGAAATGCATGCACCCTTACGTAGCCTCTAAATTAGACAGCTAGGAACCTGGGGAGCCATCTTTGTTTTTTTAGTAATTTTTTACTTTTGTACCTGATGGTTATATAGTGATAGTTTACTGTGGTTTTCATTAGGATTTTTCTTATAAACGTAATGTAAAACATGTATCAGCAAACTTTGTCCACAAAGGGTCAAGTAGTAAATATCAAATTCTGGGCTTGGGTGGTCATTCATTCCCTATCACAACTTCTCATTTCCTCCACTGAAGCATGTGACACGTCCTTGATTAGCAAATGGCACTGCTTTAATTGAACTTCATAAAAGCCGACTCATGACTGCCTCTGGGTCATAGGCTGTACTTTGTTGAACCCTGAAGAAGAGTATCTTTTCATGTTCATGTATTTTATTTTTAAAAACTCTGCACAAATATTTTGCTCATTCTAATATTCAGTCTTTTGTTGAATTTTGAGAGCTTATATATGCCTTTTTTCACTTCTACATGTTTTCTATATTATAAAATATTTCTAAGACTTCTGTCCTGAAAAGCCCAAAATATCACTTATAGAAATTAAAGAAAGGTTTAGTAAATGAAAATATATGTTACGTTCATGAATGAAAAGATTCAATAGATATAAACCTCCCAAATTCTGACATAAATTCAATGAGCTGTGAATTAAAACTCTTAATTCTTCATATGAATTGAAGAAACAACTCCATAATTATATGGAAAGTAAAGATGTTCAAATAATCTCAACTCAGCAACACTGGAGGAGTCAACCTTCAAATTTTTGGGAAGTATAGTACGCCATGGAATTTGATATTGGTGAACGTAAAAGACATAAGTTAAGCAGCTATTGTATCAAAGTAGAAAAATAGGTATTATAAAAATAGACTCAGATATACATCCATGTTCAATAATTTTCAAGGAATATGCAAGACAGCCCAGTGGGGGAAATGAAAGTGTTCTCAAGAAGCGGTGCGGACACCTGGGTGAGTCTCTGGGCAGCGCCACATGAGGCTGACCCTGGGTGACTGTCAGCGACGGCTCCATTGCTTTGCAAGCCGAGAGTAATAAATAAAGACTTCTGAGAAAGGAGCTGTTTGTGTTTGTACCAAAAATTAATATGTTTATTAATATGTTCATTAATATCAATTGGTTCACTTTGAAAGGTTCATGCACGCACATATAATAGTTTAATTTCTCCTTCACCTGCTTCCTCTCTCTCCTCACAAGCTTTACCTTGCAGGGAGTTCTAACATGTGTTATGTTTTGTGTGTATATCCATACCCCTTATTACTGGCCCTCACACTTCTTTCTGTTATTTCTTTTCTGTTGACTAATAAAAATAAAATCTCTCATACTTTCTTGGTATTTTTTAATATTCTACATATTAGAATATTTGACACTTGTTTTTCTGAATCTGACTTATTTATTCAAAATGATGGTCTCCAGTTCCCTCATTTTCCTGAAAAGGACAGAATTTCATTCTTCCTTAGCACGTAGTACTGCCCCACTGTATACATAATGTCATGTTTTGTCACCTGTTGATGGGGACTTATGAGTGTCCATATCCTGACCACTGTGAGCTGGGCTGCACTCCCCCTGGGTGTGCACACATCCTTACACTCCTCTGACTTACTTCACTCAGGTGTGTGCGGGGAGCAGTGCTGCTGGACCCAGGGGGAGCCCTATTTTTATTCCTCTGAGGAATTTCCGTACTGATTTCCACGGTGGCTGTGTTTATTTGTATTCTCAGCAGGAACCGGGCATCCTCACCTGCATTTATTGCCATTTGTATTCTTGATGAGATACAAGCTGGCTGCAATGAGGTGGAATCTCCTTACTTTCAATTTGTGTTTCTTTATTAGTCAAAGATGTTGAACATTTTTTGTGTTCCTGTTGGCCATTTGTACTTCTGCCTTTGAGAGATATCCGTTGAATTCTTTTTCTCATTTTTATGGAGCTATTTTTTATGTTACACTCCTGAGTTCTTCACATATTCTAGATATAAAATCTGCATTTGAAGAACAGCTGGTAATGATTTTCCTCCATTTTGTAGGTGCTGTCTTCACTGTGTTAGTTTCCTTTGCTGTGCAGAAATTTAAAAATGTGTATACTATTTGTTGACTCTTATTATTATTTTCAATGCTATTAGTATCTTATCCAGGAAGTCACTGTCATTCCTTTGGCTTCAAGTATTCCCCTGTTTTCTGTTAGCTCTTTCAAAGTTTGAGACAGAGAGGCCCAGGCCTCTGACTTTGAACAGCTGAGAAACAGAGTTTCAGTCTTCTACAAGTGGATATCCGGTTCCCAGGAGGGCTTGTTAAAGAGACTGCATTTGGTCCAGTGTGTAGTTTTGGCTTCCTGACCAGAGGGATGAAGCTAATCTGTAGCAGGTAACAAAGTGGGTTACAGTAATAGTTGCACACAATTTTGTTCATAAGATGACTTATACATAGAAATTTAGCATAGGTTTTTATTGGATGGTAGAACATAGGGGATTTTATTTTTAATAATGAACATGTGTCATTATGCGAATAAAAATCTAGTGCCCTTTTTAAAACTGTAACTACATATGCTTCCAACGTTTCCTCACTGACTCTTGTTTCATTTCTCATTTTCCCACTACAGTTTTCCTTATTTACCCTGTTTTCTAAATTAGTATAGGTAATTATTTCTTTTATATTATGTTTTCAATGGCTTTTCTAAGGTTTATATTGTATCTACAAACTAATATTTCACGTTCTATTTAGTATTACTTGGCTACTTCAAGAAAAATAGCTGACACTGGGTCAGTCATCTTCCCTCTCCTCGTTATGTTATATACTTGTTAGTTGTCTTTCATACTCAGATTCTGAAAACCTCATCAGGTGATATTATACTCATTGATTTCAATGCTTGTGGGCATTTTAAATAAGTCAAGTAAATAAATAATTCAAGTACAGCACTTAACAAGCTGTTTAAAAAGAGAGCAGGTTAAGTGTCCTACAGCAGTAGCACCAAAAACAAATCCAAATGAAAAAAAAAGGAAAGAAACAGGAAATGCAGAGAGGTGGCAGATATTGTCCATTTTGTTGGTTGTGATGGTGGTTACAAGGGTGAATGTGAATTCCAAAATCATGAAGTTGAATCTATCAAATATGAGTAGTTTTGTACAATAATTCTACTTCAATAATGCTTTAAAAAACTTAGTAATCTCTCACATTTTATATTTATTATGTTGTTCTTCCATTATTCTTATACTTTTTTTGGTACCAGGTATTGAACTCAGGACCTTTCGCTTGCCAGGGAGGTGCTTATACCACTGAGCTATACCCCCAGACCTCCTTCTTGTGCTCTTGAGATTGTAGTATTTCAAGCCCTGGTGTCTTTGCCTTCAGCTTAAGCAAACTTCCTTTTTATTCCTTTTAGAACAAATGTGCTCATAATAAATTTTCTCAATTTTGCTTTATTTGAAAATGTCTTAATTTTATCATAATTATTTTAGAATATTTTCACCACTTACAGAACTCATTGTGGATGGTTGTTTGCTTCTGTCAGCTGTTTAAAAGTGCAGTGGGAGGAGATCATGGCTCCCTGGCCATTGCACAGAATTTGGTTTTATTCTGAGGGCTACAGGAAGCCAGTGCAGGAGTTTTATCCATGAGTGACCTTACTGGTACTTCACGGCTGCTGTACTAAGAATGGAGAACAGGGAGACAGGCACAGGGAACATTATAAGGCTGGACCTAGATGAGTTAGACCCAGAAGACGAAGTAGCCAGGCCGTGGGTTCAGTTGAGAGGTGAGGACTACTGGATAACATGATGGATTAGATGTTAGCAGTAAGGGGAAACTGAGTCAGAAATAAATCTGAGATTGTACACCTAAAGATCCTGAATGGAGTCTCTATCAACTGGAAAGCAAGTGGTAGTAGGCAAGCGTTATGATTGGGAGTGGGGAAAGACCAGGTCAGTAACCATTATGCAGAATCAGTGCACTGACCTAGAGTGCAGGGTCTTCACCCACACAGGGAACACCCGTGTGAGCTCCTCTGCCCGGTGTCTTGTCTGACATGACACAGTAGGGAGAGAAAGAACTTACAGAAATTCCAGTTCTTCGCAGGAGTCTAGCATCTCCCAGGTCTCCGCTGCTCCCCTGCTCACTTTCATCACTTCAGAGAGCTTGCTAAAAACAGATCACGTCTTGCTCTCGCCTCACAGAAAGTCCTGTGTTTCTAGAAGTTTGTGTTCGGCTCCCCCTGCAGTCTCAGGCACTGTGTCACTCAGGGCACAGAAGTACATGGCCGCGTCGCTCCCCTGGGCTGAGGATTTCTGCAGGTGAAAGGAGGTTTCACTCTTCTTAAACTCAGCCTTGAAACCTCTGGTGCCTGTAACTACAGATGACCCTGGTACATATTTCAGGAGGAGCTGGAGGTCTTTTTCAGGTCGCTGGACATACCAGAAGAGGTAAGGTGTTACACTATGGGTATAATTGCACTTCAGCAGCAGAGCGTGTCCTTCAGCGACAGTGACATGATGGTCAGGCTGGGCCACTGACTGGGCTCCACCTCCTCCTGCAACATCAAGTCTGCATCAGTGAGACCGGGACAGACCCACCGTAATGGCACAATGTCCCTCTCCATTTTCATTACTTCAGGGAGGCAGGAACAGGGAACACTGCATACTTACTCAAGGTGAGAGGCATTCCAAGCAAGAGGAGGGTCACTGAGAGCATAGCTGGTCAACAGGAGTCCCAGAGTGCTAGGCTGGGAGAGTCCCTCAAAAGGAATTGGAGTCTCTCTAATGGGAATCTCACATCTAAAAGTTCCTTCTTCAGGCACAACCGAGACTAATGCTAAGAGATGCTGTCTTAACGATGACAGCATGTACTGTCAGCAGTACTCTGTTTGGTGTTTGTCTTGCTCAGGCTGTGCACTCAGTGTGCCAGAAGGCAAAAAGAAGCCCCTAAGAGGAACAGACATTTCCGTGCAGGCAAACACTGCCCCCTGGTGGTAGAGTACAGAAACAAGGTGAGCATTAAGGTTTATGTGCTAGATTTTCTTAGTTTAATATGGTGAAAATGTTTTCAAGGGTCTATATTTTGAGAGGATATTTTAATTTCACGAACAAAATAACACCATTAAGTTATATTAAATAAATTATATTATCATGCTCGCTTAAAAAATAAGAAAACTGGGGGCTGGGGATTTAGCTCAGTGGCATAAGCGCTTGCCTTGCAAGCAGGCAGTCATGAATTCAATCCCTGGTATGGATAAAAAGACAAAAAAGAAAAAAGAAAAGAAAAGAAAACTGATATATTGAAGAAATAATGCCATTTGTCCAGTATCACGATGAGAAAAATGGACTTGGTCCTACTAATATGTGTTAAGAGTCCACAGTATTGGCCAGGGTTGACCATGACAAGTTTTTCAGTGCTGCCTTTTAGAATAGACATTTTCCTAAATTCACACCCAGAAACCCAACTACTATAGCAATAATGTGCCCAAGGACACACAAGTTTCAGGCTATTATAAAAAAGAGGGTGAAAGCTGACCAATACAGATGCTCAGAAAAAATCCAAAAGGCAATGCGGACTGAATAAACTCTTTCCAAGACCAAACACTGCAGGAAAAATAAGTGGAGGAGCTACTAAAGAACCTCAGCATCGTCAGAGAGTGAAGTGGGAATTCCGGAGTGGATGAGGTTCTGAGAGAAGCAGTTTTAAGAAAAACTGTGTGATCACAGAGCAAAAGATGAAGAATGCACAAGAGAAAGATTGTTTTTCAATGTCTGTTGATCTTTTAACAACATAAAAGTGAACATTGGTCTTTTCATTAGAAGATAAACTATTGAATGTAGCAAAAACATGAGACAAAATAAATTTGCAGTATATTTTGGGATATTTGGGTTACATAAAGGAGAAGAAAAATACATGATATCAACTAGATTTGGTTTTTAGCACTTGGGCAATGTTTGCATGATTTGGAAAAAACAATGAATCAGAGTTCAGAGATGATAAATAGAATAGAAATAAGATCACAGATCAAAAGATCACGTATTGGCAGGAGGAACAGATATTTCTAGTTTTATTGAAATAAAAGAGGAAAGGATCTGTTTGTGTTTAAGTAATTCTTTGGAATATGAAGGAAGAAGTTTGATGCACCTATTATTTTCTAACAGAATTTATTATTTCTTATGAAGAGAAATTATTTACAAAAAATCAAATGGAGATCACTCTGGGTTAGAAATTTTGAGTTGTGTAAAAAGTTTTGAAATAACACCTGCAAGGAAGGGCAGGGAGAAATAATTAAAGAGATAACAAGTGCTTGCCTGGCACCAATATATATCAAGTTAATGCTGATGGTAACAAATCTCAGCAACACCAGCCTACACCTCTCTGTCATTATTTTGAACCCTCTGCATCAGAAAAAGTTCGTATCATAAGGATGACATTTATGAATGATTGGGGATTAATACAATCATCACTATGGTGCAGAATTGCAATGTGAATAATGTAGTCAGTGACCAAAGAGTTTGAGTAAAAAGCTCTGGAATGAAGTTGTTGGTAAGACCACAGAAGAAGCCTTTGGAAAATAAGAAAACAAAAAAGGAGGGAATATAGGATGAAGCAGCAACTAGATCTGAGTGAATTTGTCAAGTAGGGACTCCTGGATATGTTGATGGATTAGATGTGATAACATATAAGTGATAATATAAATTCAAAAAACAGATGCACTGTAAGGATCTGTGCATGGCTACATAAGCATGGGTGGATTTAGACTGGGTGTAAGATTTTAGGTGGACCAGCATCTGATTGGAGAATTATTGTAAGATCGTTCTGGATTGTGGAAAGGCAAGTTTATGGCTAGGGGATTCAAATTAATGGTATTTGAAATTGCTGAGTTCTTTTATCAAAATGCCCCAGGCCAACAGTAAAGTTGGATTGTATTCAGTTTGCAGTGGAAACTATTAAACTTGGTTAAATTCTTCAGTATGTGAAGTGTCTTGAATGAGAAGATGATAATAAGAAAACAGTAGAGGAAAATCAGGCCAGAATCTCAAAATTGCATGAATAGTGCCTAGGTTTTACGGGTAACGACCTGTATAAATACGGTACCTATAAGTCTGGCGTGTTTTAGCTGTGGTAGAACAAGGAACACAATGGAAAGATAATTATTTCTCACAGAGAATTGCATTTTTATTCAGACACATGGAAATAATTCTCACAAAGACTATGAAATGTGGCTTTTTGTCAGTGCTGAAGATCAAACCGAGGGCCTCTTGCATGCTAGGAAAGTACCACGTACGACATAAATATATGCCAATATTTTGTTTTTGATAAAATGGAAATCTGAAAGCCAAGTCAGTATTGAAAACAGAAGAACCGTCAGGTCCCCTGGTGAATGATTATTCTCAGAAAAGTCAGTCCTGTAGGACAACAAGTGCTTTCCAAGGTCCTAGTGTGGAGAAACTTGTTTGCAGGAAAGCAATTTGTGCTGAGTTTTTCATGCAGAGTAAATAGATAGCAAGTTTCAGGCTCTCCAGAAAGGCACAGCTCTTCTCCAAGGAAACACAGATAAAGTCTTCAAGGTTTTCTGTTTGCAGATAGGAGCACTGAAGGAGAAATGCGCAATCACACTGAAATCCTGACAGAGAGCACACTGAGAAAACCGGCTCTGGCTCTGAGACACTGCTGCACTCACTGCCTGAGACAGCGCCTGCCTGCAGCAGAGGCTTTGGGATGCTCACTCAGGCTGCGCACGGATCTTCTCTCTTTACTATTTGTTCATAACTTAGTGCAGATGTCTCCACTCTTTCCTGAAAAGCTGCTCTCTCATCTTCCTTTCCTTTCTTTTCTAACATGAGCTCCAATGTCAGTCACTCCAAAGTTGTTCTTTTAAATGTCACTAATCTACACGCTTCTCTTTCTTTCTTACATTTACCCAGCTTGCAAAATCTGAAAGCTCAGTATTACTCTGACCCACTATCATGCCAACCTAGAAACATGTCCTTGACCGTGAGGTTATGTCAATAATTGCCAGAGTGCTTTTTACAAATCGTATTGATATAATACAAGGGAGCCCTTTATCATTTAGAACTATAACAGACACTTTTTTTTCCCTACAATTGGTGAATTCTTTTCTTTTGTACTAAGAGAATCTTGACGGTATGAAATTAGCTCACTTTACTTTTGCAGCTGCCAGTTATTTCACTTCATTGATGACAGACAGATTTCTGAATTCTTATTCTAGAAAGTAAACTATGTGATTTTCAAATGTTTCCCATTTTTGTGCCCAGGATGTGTCCTTTCCCATGTCCCTTATTTGTATACTTGTGTGCTTTGTTTCTAATAAAATTTTATGTATTTTTAGTGTAAGGTTGATGTAGTCAGGGATTTCAAGGAGAACAAGACAATACAGAACACATAATTTACAGAATTATTTTATAATAATCACCCAAATAGTTAAATATTAGAAGTACAGGAAATCTGTCCATACACTAAGACCAAGGAATCCAGCTGAGGGTTTGGATCCTACACTAATGTCCTACATGTTTCCAGCTGAAGACCTAGATACCATGACAGTGTCCCCACGAGTCCAGCTGGAGGCCTAGTGCCCATGGCAGTGTCTCATGCAAGTTTGTTTCACAGATCTGCATTGGGGAAGCCCCAAAGTTCAGTGGTGGAAGCTGGAAAATCTGTGCCAGTAGGGTGAGGGTTGTACACCAGAGCCAGGAAGCAACATTCATAGTAAGAAGCAGGACTCCTCTGAAAAGTACTAGCCATCCTCAGTGACAACGAGATACTGAGCTACTCTGATGATCAGAATAGCCAGGTTGCTATCAGGAAACCAGCATGACAAGCTTTTCTTGGAGACTGAACAGCACACCATTTTCCCCTCCAGAGCCAGGAAGCAGTAAAGACCAGAGTTCCTTCAAAATGAACCACAGCCTTTCTCAGTGACAGTGAGGTCCAGAGCTCCTCTGATGATGAGAACAGCCAAGCTCATGTCAGGAAAGAAGCCTGACAAGCTCTTCCACAAGAACCCATGGCAACAGGAGAACCAACAACACCATGGAGAACCAACAATACTTAATTCTTGCTCTCCAGTTCTCCTGTTTATCTTGGCAACAGTCCCAGGTGGGCCCTCCATGCTCAGCACCACGCTGATTCAGTTCAGCTGCTGTTACAAATTGCCCACCATTTATCAATTCACCACACAAGTTAAAAATCATCAGTGTATTATCTGGTTTGTGAAACTTTGAGTGAACAAATTAGCTATCTACTTTGGAGTGGCTGATTTGCATCAGCATTTCAAATATCCTTAACAGAGTTCTTAAAATATTAGAATTCTCAATATGTACATTTACCCACATTATTATAAGTTGGGAGACAAAGAAAAAATACACCAAAATTTTTCTTCATTCTGAATTCTTATTTCTTGTGTCATTATACCACTTAACAGTGCAGAAACAGCTTTACTCATGGAAAGCCCTTGGGGATGGAAAGTGTGGTAGGACTGATCACAGTTCTTAAAACCAATCAGCAACTGTGCAATTTATAAAGATAGATTTGGAGCAATATTTTACAGCAGAAAACATTCAGGGAAAGGTCAGATTTTTTAATAGTAAAGGGTTATTTCTGAACAGAAACACAGGTATGAAAAAGACACTAAGATAAGGAAAATGTTTTTTGAAAATCCTGTTTAATGTTGGATAGGCAGACACTAACTGTTTGCTGGTAGCACAGATTGCCAAGTATTTTTAGATGCCTTTTGAATACTATCCGAGCACTGTCTAGAAACCCCATAAGATGAAAATAAATGTAAGTCCTATTACTCAACTATTTCATGACTGGAAAAATACCTGTCACACACAATTTAAATGAAAAGAGTTTTCAGAGGACTCAGTCTGGGATTGTTGGGCTCCAAGGCATACGGCATGGTA